CAATTTTAATATTATCATGCTATTTTTTAACTATGAAAGGAAATAGTAAAAAATATATAAAATGAATAGAAACTGTAAACTATAAAATTAAATACATATGTATGTAAATGATACCCACGTACAAGTTATTTTTCAAATTTAATTAGGTCTATTCATGTCAATTATTTTACTAGTATATTTGGCCAGTGTTCGAAATTCGACCTTAATGTTTAGGTTTTAATAAAACCTGTTTACATATTTTTAATGATAACACTAAAGCTCGCCAATAGGTACTAAACAAAAAAAATGAAAATTGGTTGACAAACAGAGGAAAAAAGGCACTGAACTGTTTTGTCTTTGCCTATTTATGTATAGATATGAAGGCACCCGTACAATTAAGAAATTATATCCTTAAAATCTTTCAACAGCATCTTATTATCAATTTATAAATTGGTCAAGTGCGAGTCGAATTTCTACACGTAGGGTTCCGTATCGTTCGATGATTGATTACGAACGTTAAAAAATGTCTCGTGTATTTTTATTTATTTTTATTATTTGTTGTTATAGCGGCTATTTCTATAGTATTTCTATACATACTCTGTGAAAACTTCAACTCTACCTACCTATTAAGGTTTATGTGATGTGATACAGCCCTCGGACGGACGGATGGACAGCGGAGGCAAAGTAATAAAAAAGAGCTACACTAGAAATTGATATTTATCATGCAAGCAAATGGTTAATTGTGAGTTAATTGTGTGTAACGTGTTTGAACTCATATTATAGTTAGAGATGTTTTGTACCTTTACATTCGAAACAAATAAATGACTACAAAACAACAATCTGTGAGAAGATTCAGTTTCATTTTATTTAGACACAATTATGTCTTACGATACAATACTAAGTGTTACGTCCAACTACTTGAATTTGAAAACATGTTTGTACTCCATCTTCCTAATTGATTTTTAAGTTGTTATACATCGTCTGAGAAAACCCGTTGCAAAGAAAATTACTTGGCCGATATTAAAATCTTTTCAATATGCACATTTGTCATACGATCCCTCTATGTATAGAGAGCATAAGATTGCATCTACTTCCATTATCGAAACAGAACACAATATATAATAACGCTTTAAGTATCCATTTTGGCACAAGCCGGTTGTTCTTTTCAGTGACATCTCCATGCTTTTGTTTAAGCTGCATCCTTATTTCGAAAGCTATTAAGACGATATTTATAAGTAAAAAATAAGTAGACATTTTTAACATGACTTCAGACGTTCATATTTGAAATCTGCTAAAACGAGTTCTGTTTCAAACGAATGTCGTTGAAGTAGCACGTACCATACAATTGGTAATGAAAGATCTGGATAAATCTAAACCTTATTTCGTTACGAATTCAAGAACTACACCAAATCGAACTGCAAGGTAACCTATGTCCCTAAGAAACTTTTTGTTCGCGACCCCATATTTATCGAGTCGAGACGTGCATTCGATATTAAAAAATGCTCGGGAGAAATCTTAAATTCAATAGTAATTTTAAAAGGGCGCGGATAATAGTAAGTCGTACGCCCTGTTTTGCGGTGTTATATTTAGTTCGCGAATTCTTCAGGGTCGTTTTGTGTACACACTGGTTTCTGTACGCAGCATGTGTCTCTCTGACTATGGCGGGTATAATACAAGCCAAGATTCTAATTACACAGTCAATTTGGTACAGCGGGAAATATGAATTATTGCCTCGCCGTAACCGAGATGAAATCGGCCATGTTTGAATTTTAACAAAGCTTTTTATTTGTAAGGAATTTTAAAGCAGGATTTGATATAAGAATAACCTATTTAATATTATATTCGTAAGTGATTAGTTTTCTGTTTGCGCATAATTGGTGAGATTAGAGATTAGGGAAGTTGAATTCAACTAAGACCTTTATATTAGGTCCTTTAATTCAATGTTAAAGTGACTTAAATATTTGCATATAATTAATTAGTTGAAATTGTAATTATTTTACTGAATAATACATTGTTATAATTGAACGTTGCAAATGTAAATCTATTTTATATAACAATTATTTTAATTACATTTAAATAGCTCGTTTAGTTTTAATTAATTTTGTTGCTGCTCGGGTCATAACGTATAAAGGTGGAAAATGAAAATATGAAGAACTAGCGGCTCACCCTCGCTTCGCTCGGGTTTGCCTCTGAAAAGACAAAAGCAATCTATCCCACGAGAACCGTACATTTTTCCGGGACAGAAAGTAACCTATTTGTTATTCTGATATATGAGCTATAAAGCTATCTGTTATATGATTATGTTTCATTAAAATCCATTCAGTAGTTTTTGCGTGAAAGAGTAACAAACACCCATACATCTATACATCCGGACATCCATACATCCTCACAAACTTTCGCATTTATAATATTAGTATAGATTACTATGCTGTTTAAAATTGTATTGAACAATAACTTGCATATATCTAATAAAATTAATCATTAAAGACTCAAAAAATAAACTCTAAAGTTTATGATAAAAAGAGTCTATACATATAATAAAATTCTAACTAAGCCGAATCTGTACATTACATATTTTTTGGAAAATCTTATTGAAATAGTCATTATTATCGATACAGAAGCCGAACATATAGTTTTTAGAGTTTTTGTCTGTCTGTCTGTCTGTTACCGCATCACGAGGAAACTACTGGACAAATTTTGATGAAATTTGGTATGGTGAAAGCTGGTTATCCGGGTCAACGTAAGGATACTTTTTATTGCGGGAAAATATTTCATCTTTGAGAAATCTATAAAATCTATACAAAACGTTTAAAAGTAAGTAGGGACGAACCCGAGCGAAGCGAGAGCGAGTCGCTAGTACCTAATAAAATTATTGATACTCATAACCAGATTATACACAATATGCAAACATGATAGAAATGACTTTGCAATTGGATACCGGATTACTCTAGTAATAGTATGATTACTATGACACACATATTTAATACCCACTTTCATCCAATCTCTGCTGAGTTTAGTAGTGCTATTTGCATAGTGAATTATATGTCGACTTCTATGTACTTTGAAACTAATTTAAGTTGAATTGTTCTTTTTCCAAGTCCTATTTTAACATAATTTAGTATTAGAAAAGCATAATATGTGTATGATTAAAAAATTAAAATAATAATCGATGAAAATATAGCATTTATTAAATAACTAGCAGAACCCGCGGCTTCGCTCGCGCTAAAACTACAAAATAGCTCTAAAATGTGGGTTTCATAAAAACTTAAATCCCCTATTTTACCCTCTTAGGGGTTGGATTTTAGAAAACGCTGAAATATGTAACTCATTATTTTGTTGTACTCAATTCATACGAAATTTCATGCAAATATGTCCAATTTTTTAATTTTCTAGCCTTAAGGGTATGGCCTGTGCGTTGATACATCAGTCAATCACATTTGCCATATATATATATATATATATATATATATATATATATATATATATATATATATATATATGGCATATATATATATAACTGCCTCGGTGGTGTAGTGGCTAGCATGTACGGTTGCACACCCGGAGGTCCTGGGTTCGAGTCCCGGGTCGGGCCAAGTTTAGTTATTGAGTCTTCCTGTATAGTAAGTCTCAGTAACAGCCCGGAGTTGGGAAGTTGGCGGTGTTTCACCCCCGTGCCTCGGAGAGCACGTAAAGCCGTCGGTCCTGCGCCTTAACTCTCACCGGTCGTGTCGAGTGGTCGTCCCACCGGAGTATGAGAGTGATAGGAATAGAGAGTGCACTTGTGTCTGCGCGTACACTTGAGCACTATAATATCTCCTGCGCAGTTGGCTAATCTCATTGAGATTGGCCGCCGTGGCCGGAATCGGCTAGGAGAACATCATCATCATCATCATCATCATCATATATATATATATATTAGTCTCTCATTTCCTAATACTTCTTATTAAGCTCATAAAATCAATACTTATCATAATATCTATTAATTATCTCAAGTTAATTTAATTAATAGGCACGACATGCTACCATTATTTACTATGTTATTGATCAAGAAATAGTTCATAAATGTATGTACGAGTATAATTATGAACAGTAAAAATTTGAGGAAAACATATGAATAAAATTTAGGTACCTATCTTGTATATAAAATAAACTGACTGCTTCAAATTTTTTTTATTGATGACGAATAAAAGCTAAAGCTCGTTAATAGGTTGACAAACAGAGCAGAAAAAGGTACTGAATTGTTTTGTCTTTACCTATTAAAATATAGATATCTAATATATAAAATTCTCGTGTCACAGTGTTTGTAACAAAACTCCTCCGAAACGACTTGACCGATTCTTGTGAAATTTTGTGTGTATATTAAGTAAGTCTGAGAACAGGACGTAAACTATTTTCCATACCCCTAAGTTATAAGGGTGGTCCATCCCAAAAAATATTTTTTTATTGTTTTGGTAAATTTTTTTTATTTTTTTTTTTATTCATTCGGCATTAAAAAATACATACAAAACTAAATTTTCACTAAGGACGAACCCGAGTGGAGCGAGATTGAGTCGCTAGTTAACTATAAAATAGCACTTGTGACCGAAATTTAATTTTTCTACATTCTAAGTCAATGCTCTGAACGGTCACTTTATTCAATGTCGTGATATCCGGGACGAATATCGACCATGAAATCGTTTCGTGTGCATTCCAGTATTGTAACGGACTTTGCGAGATCATGACGAATCTGCCTAATGGTGACAGTTTATATGGATAAAATGGTAAAATTTTGAAGAGTATTGAGTTAAATACTTATTGTGTATTAAAATACAGGAAGTCTTTTTATAACATGAATAAGCTCTAATATGTACCTACCTACTTAAACATATTTATCGACGTTTTTATTTTTGATAAATGACAATACGTATCAAATAATAGTCAATTAGAGTATTGATTAAATTATAATCTAAAAATATACAAAAGCGATTCAATGTGCTTAAAAAATAATGCTAATAATCGTTTATTTTGTTACAGATACCACAATGCTTAAGTGGACGGTGTATGGCAAAAAGAACCAACACGTTCCCATAATTGGTGACGATAATATAAACAATGTAGATCCATATAGTGATCGACCGTATAATGATATAGCAAGAAGATCTCTAGATGCGCAAACCGTAAAAAAAAGCAAGAAACCTAGCAGATATCAACGCAGATCACTAGGAGCGGCTGCACGTAAAAATACTTGTCAAAATGCTGATAAGGAAAATTTTAATTTTATAGGTAATACACCTAATCATTTTAGGGAAGGGTTTATCAAAAAAACAGACAGTAATGCTTTAAAGGACGTAAGTAATATTACACCGACATCTTTAACTCCTAACTATGATAAAATAAATTTTTATAGAAACTCAAAAGACAATATTCTCAAAGATTTATCAACTACTCCTCCTACGTACAGTAGAAGAGTGAGAGAGGCAAAAAAGAGAAAACTGGAGATGACAAATTTTAACAGTAATGAAATTTTCACGAGAAATAGCTGTATTTATAAATCAGAGAGGCGAATAAAACAAGATCGAAGTTTAATTAATTCTTCAAGACTAAGTCATAGTGTGTCAGAACCATCTCTAAATGATTTATCCGAGAGATTAAGTAAATCTGCAGAGAATACAAAAAAATCTTTTAGAATTGCGAAACAACATATACAAAATAAGAAACCAATTAGTACAACTACTGCAACAAGTGAAGATCTAGTAGAAATTGAGTACGATAGAGATTTAGTTATTAATTGTGTCGAAAAACCATTAACTGTAGATAAAAGCAAATTAGAAAAATCCACTCTACCTATATTTGGGCACCGTGTATTTACAGATAATCCTCTATATTTTAGTAAATGCGAAGATGGGCCGCCTAATATAAGACCCTTAAAACGTACAAGAAAAAAATCTAGTGATTTTGAAAGTTGTTTCAAATCACCTTCTGTTGATAGAAGAGATTTGCATACGTTAGTTAGAGATGGCTGCTCTCCGTTATCGATAACACCATTATCAGTTAAATTAGCTGCTCTGAGATTTAGTACTATGAGTACTCATACAAAATCGCAAAGAGTGCAACCGTGTGATGACGATGTTATAGAATATTTTCCAAAAATAGAAAATCCCACCACGTTAACTATTCCACTCAGAGACGAAGAATGCTCGGCTGAAATGGAAAACAAATGTATTCTTGGTAAAGAATCTCTTAATAGTGTTTCGGAATCCACGGTATCTACAACTGAAATGGGCGATATAACATTAGAAAAAATGATTGAAGATATAATTAAAAGCACAAAAATTGTTAAATCAAAAAGAAGAATATTCAATAAAAATACAGAACCTGATAACGATATAGAAGAGGAAATTCCCACAGTGGAATCAGTTAAGGATCTGTTTGTCAAACCACAAACAAAAACAAATATCATAAAAGAAGCTCGATACGTCAATTTGTCCAGAGAGAATTCAATTTCACCAAAAGCCACACCAACGAAAAAAAGGTTGCCAGTCCATAGGGCTAATGACAAATTATTGAAAAACGTTCCAATCGGTGGTTTCATTTTGGACGACGGTGACGGCTACAATGAAAGAGAAGTAAGAACACCAGATAACTATGTAAATAAAAAATATGAAGATACTAGCCTGGACGATAATTCGCCGCTGGTAAGGTCACAGTCAGTGAAATCTTCAAATAAAGACAAAAATATTTTAAAGCACACCACATCTGAATCGACACCTGACTTGCACGCCGCAACAAATATGTGCAGAAATAATAGACTGAGAAGACAAAGGTGCATTCGTAGAAAAAAATCGACCGTTAGCAACGAAAGTCTATTCAAACCTAAGCAAGTGGAATCAAAATCATCTTTAGTTCTTACTTTAGAAATGGGTTTACCAAGCCCTACATGTGAACTACAAAATACGTCATTATGTGAGCCTCTTTCTACGTCGTATCATGAGGTTTTACCTGAATGCGAATTAATTAACCATTCACTAAGATCAAATGTATCTCATAGCAGTCTAAAAACGCATGGAGCAATCCAAAATGTACGATCTAGAGAACTGTTTGGACTAACATTAGAAACTGGAATTCCTAGTCCGATCACTCCATTACCGAATCTTAAAAGAACAAGTAATGTGTTAAGTGAAGAGAGAGCTCATAAAACAAGCAAGTTAGAAGAGGATTTACTACCAAATGATATCATGACACCTGTTCTAGAACATAAAACATCTAGACGTTGTCTCACATATTCTCCGGAAGAATGCAGTATAACTAGCAGCGAAGAAAAGCGGAGAAGTGTTGCCAGCAATCGCTTAGAACGAAGTGCTGATCGGTTTCAAGCTTTAAAAGCTACAATCGATCTACAAATAATAACAAGAAATGACGTTATTGACGTGCACGGTGAGTGGTGACTATCGAAACTTCACTATTTAATATATTTTTTTATGTATCTTCTTGTATTTTACTCAATCAGGTTTTCTTTTTAGTAATTCGATGTCGAGACCTTCAACGTTCATCTGGAAAAGTAGATGACATCAATGCTTATGCGAAGGTAAAACATTTTTTTAAACGTATCTATTAAATATCATAAATCAAAATATAAAAAAATGAAGCGGGCAATACACAGTAATTACTAAAATATACCGGTCTAATATAGGAGCTTCACCTTTTTTTATGTCGCAAATAGAAAAAAAATATTATGAGAATATTTATTGCTCCCTAAAAAAATATTTAACGAGCGATTTACCCTCGCTTCGCTCAGGTTTGTCCCTAGCTTATTTCCCAATACAAACTTTTATCCCCATTTTCACCTCCTTATGGGATGGTTTCCGGGATAAAATATCCTATGTCCTTTCTAGAGTTCCAAACTATCTTCGTACAAAATTTCATCTAAATCGGTCAGTAGATTCAGAGATTACCCCTTACAACGTCACAAACTCACAAAATTTACCTCTTTATAATATTAATATAGATTACAAAACTTCGATTTTCCAGGTTGTAATAAGTGGTGTGACAGAAGACCACAGCTTGCCATCTCAACGGTCAATATTCCAAAGAACTTCAGTGCTCTACGGGAAGAGGGAGCCTGAGTTTCAACGGCATCTGAAACTACCATTGCCTACAGCTGTCTATGAACACCAGATGCTTCACGTCTCCGTATGGCATAGGGATAAGAAGTACAGGTAAGCTTAGTATTATTTCAAAATTGACTGAATAAACTATTTTTTTATACAGAAACCTTAAAATGCAACGTACAAAACAGGTTTTTTGAGACTAGCTATCTGCGCAGGAAATATTATAGTGCACAAGTATACGCGGAAACACAGGTGCACTCTCCAATCCTGTCACTCTCATACTCCGGTGGGTGACTACTCGACACGACCACTGGGAATTGAAGTATGTGCAGAATCGTCAGTTTTACGTGCTCTTCGAGGCACTGGTATAAATCACCGCAAACTTCCTAACTCTGGGCTGTTACTGAGAATTTCTTGACAGAAATAAGTACACAATGACTAAACTCCGACCCGGGAGTTAAACCCAGGAACTCCAGATCTGTGACCGTACATACTAGCCACTACACCGAGGCAGTTTCATATCTATAATATTCGTGTGTATCAAAATCTACTTAGACGATCGCCTAATAGAAATATCTACACAAATGACTAAATTGCGTTTTATGTTACACAAAAATAGACCTATTGTGTCGGCTAAATTTATATTGCTTTAACGGACAATAGAACCAGTTAGACAGAGTCAAAGCGATTCAATCTGGTGATCTAATAGCTTGTCACTACAGGACGCCATTAACAAAGAGATTGTGCGCAACAAATTCAATATAGTTCCACCGCAGAATAATGCTGATTAAATATCATACATGCCAGAACCGGGAGTAGAACTGTTTATCATTGTTTTCAGAATTTCCAGTTAACATATGTATATATTAAATTATTCATCGTATGTTTACTTTTAAAACTGAAATTGAAGTATTTTGCATATGATTCTAAAAACGCTTCGCTTATCAACATAGGTGAAGTTCGTTTTGTTATTTGTACCACTCTAAAAATCAAATTAATACAAAATTATTCAATAACTAGCCACTCACCCTCGCTTCGCTCGAATTCGCCCCTAGGTTGCTTCCCCATACAAACTTTCACCCCCATTTTCACCCTCTTCACGGATTATATCCGGGATGAAAACTATCCTATGTCGTTCCCAGGATTTCACACTATGTTTTTACTAAATTTCATCTAAATCGGTTCTGTAGTTTCTAAGCCTATTCGATACAAACAAACGAACTAACAAACAAAAAAACAGTTTTTTCTTCTTTATAATATTAGAATATATATTATTTAGCAATAACGTGTGGTGTTATTATAATATATTATAGTAAAAGTTTATTATCATAATTTGCACACATGCTCATAATACACATGCATATATACACACTTACACAACCAAACTCATACATGAACACACACTTCACTAATGCACTAATGCAGTTATTAACATAAAAATTGTTTATCATTTATGTTATTATATGCTTAAATGATGTTCTTAGTAAATAAATTATAATATAAAATTATAATATAAATTATTTAGTGCTAGAGCCATACCTCTACTTCGCTCGGATGCGTCCCTAGTCGTAGACTTTTCTAAAGGCCATTTTATGACTTAAAATTTTTAGTACATTGTTTTGATGTATCTTCTAAAGTTTAGCCTTTGTTTTACACGAGTATTATGTATAAAAGATAGGTGTACTGCAACTTATAAACCTTTTCTAAACGAATCATTGCATTTTTTGTATGAATGACGGCTCGGCCAGAACAGTTACTGTGTTTCCCGTGGGAATGAGACATTTCCCTGTAAAATGCCCCTAAATATTGACTCGAGTTCTAAGCTATCGCAAATAGAATTTCAGTGCTTCTTGCGTAAAAATGATATATGCAGACATACAGACAAACATTTCAACTACTAGGGTTTTGGGGACTATATTCAGTACACAATACGTGTCAATCAATGTTTAAAAATAATCATGAACAGATAAACAAATCAAGAGAACAATACAACATATGTATATTTAATACAAAAATACCCCACAGGAAATTGAACCTGCCTCCTCCAATAAGGAAACGCGATTAAAATACAACTACACCAATAGTCGACGTTCAATAATTAATTCCTTTAAGAATAGGTACCCGACTTCATAAAAATGAAGCACTAGATTCATATAAATCTAATGCATTAATAACTTAATATTGAATATGGCAACATTATTACTATTTCACAGCATGCTTCAGTGTTAGTATACGTACTTACCGTAATTACGTTTTTAATATCATATGAAGCTAGCGGCTCACCCTCGCTTCGCTCGGGTTCGTCGCTAGGTACGTTTTAAATAGATATAAATAGTTATTAGCCAGTGTTATTAGCCATATAAATATTTTTTTTCGTTAATTTTTCTGACGTTTTAATACTTAGGTATTAACCTATTCCGGAATGAGATAAATCCAAAAATTCATATATCATAAAAATTGGTCCAGCCGTTCTTGAGTCTTGTATACGGGAACGCAGTCGAACGGGCTAAATAGTATCCTATGTCCGTCTCCTGGTTCTAAGCTTCCTCCCCACCAAGTTTCAGCCAAATCGGTTCAGCCGTTCTTGAATTATAAATAGTGTAACTAACACGACTTTCTTTTATATATATAGATTTCTTTATCCCTAGTAAAAGCAAGATTAGTTGATCTTCAATCTTATCTCTTTTTAACTTTCATTCTTGCTAAAAAACTTTATCTAACAATTAATATAAATCCATTTTCTTCTAGCATTATTATATTCGCTTGAGATCTTTTAATAATTTAATTATCTAAACCGATTAATATACTAATGCAAACAGTATCCACACGAGGGGTTGGTTACCGAGTATTTTTCGTTTTGCCCTAGCATTGGTTTCATACATAAGATATAGGGGGTGGTTGAAGTGACGCGGGGCGCGAAGAAATATGCGCAGACCGATCGATTCCGTTCGGCGCACCCAGGGCAGTCGCGGTTCAGACTCACCCCGGTTAAGTGTCTATACAGCCTGTGGGAATTACGCATTGGATATTATATAGTGTTGTGTCACGTTGTGATTGTGCTGTGTTTTTTTGGAAAACTCCAATCTTTTAGTTAGGAGAACTTGGTAAGAACTTCATGTTTACCAGCCATTAATCTTTTATTTCATCGCTTTTTATTTTACAAACTTTAGACTGTACGTCGATTAAGTTATATTTTCTTGTGTCAAGGCAAACGTGTATGTCTGTCATTATCATTTATGAAATAGAGTGCGTACGTTTAAGGCTTGCCCCAATTTAGTTTAAATGCACGGTTCCATTAAGTAACAAATTGTAAGCAATTTAATGTTGTGATTTATTGAGTAAATGCTGATAATTTCACGATGTAACGCCAGATATGGATAAGCGTTCCTTTTGTAGCGGTAACCTTTGCTTTGCTTATTAGGATACTCATATAAACTTCTTAAAAAGAATAAAGATAATCGTAGTAGTTTAGCAAATAGTTTAAATTAATTATTATTTTCCTTATACAAATATTTGCTTTATTTAGTTTTCTTGTATGTTGATACGTAAGATTTTAAAGGGGAATCTTTTGAAATCAATCTCATATTATTCTGAATGGCAAGCCTTAATTACAAGAGTATACGCTTATACGCTGCAATACAAGTGGATCATTACTTGAGGCTTGGCCCCCGGCCAAATGATTGAAACGATAGATTCCTGTAAACCATCGGTAAAGATCTGGGGATCAGTGCTGACATTTAAGCATATATCTTTCATGCAGTAACTGCGAAAGTCTGTGTGTCTGTATTAGCTGCTCTTTTACGCTGAAATAGATGTTTAGAACACAGATATAATATGAGCTTAATTGACTACGGTATATAATATTGACTACGGTTAGGCTTCTAGCTCTGCAAATAAGCGAACCGAGAATACTTCACTAATATCCATACTTTTTAATATTATAAATGTGAAAGTGTGTTTGTTTGTTTGTCCTTTCACGTCGAACAGATTGGCGTGATTTTTTGTGTGGAGATAGTTGGAGGGATGGAAAGTGGCATAGGCTACTTTTTACCGCGGGAGATTATCTAATTCCTACAGGAAAACACGTTAGAATACCTACAATCTAAAAAAATATTTATAATCAGAATAACTTGAAACTTGGTATTAATACTCTTCAATAGAATTAAATAAATACGTGTTTTAGCATTTTTCGAAATTCATCCCATAAAGTGGTAAAATAGGGGATGAAAGATTGTATGAAACCTACCTTTATAAAGTTTTTTTTTTGTATTTTTAGCTCGAGTGAAGCCGCGGGTTCTGCTAGTTAGTAGATAAGAAAAGCTAACATAATAAACTAAATTTTAATCCATAATTAAGTTAGACAATCAAACATGTAATAAAAATATCCAGCCATTTTATTTATGACAGAAAAATACACAAAGGAAAAAAACTCGTTTAATTTTTACATCAATTTACACAACACAACATTAAATAAAAATGTCCTACATACGCTGGATTTTATTGTATTTCAGTATCTACTGTTTCATTATGTATGATAAATACAAAATTTATTGATTTATTATGCCATTTATTATCTTTTAAAATATATCTGCAGTATTATAATACTACTATATTTTAAACATACTTTTTTAATTACTATATTATAAATAAAACTATCTTTTCGGATTTTTTCGTGGATTTATTTAAATATGTTGTTTAAAAAATATTTTTGTGAAGGTTTCAGGTAATAAAATATATTCTAGAAATAAGAATTTCCAGGTATACCGGGAAATACAGAAACAGCCAACGAGCTCATGTTTATGCTATTAATGCTAAGGTGCTTTGAACGTCTCGTTAGGCTCTAACATAGAGCCTCACGTTTATCCATTGACTTACCGTCTACCGTCGCGTTTCGAAAGCTTTTCAACTTCCAACTAACAAATTCATTTGTTTTTTAATTTTTTCTTCTTCTATACAGATAAATAAAATTGAAGTTTCTGTTTGTAAATGTAATATGTAAATTGAAGTTTCAGTCAAAATAACAGCTTTTTACTAAATGCATATGAAGTTTTATAAGGTATACATATAATAAATATATATATATATATGAAGAGCACAATTTTCAAAATTTTTATCTGTCTGTTAGTCTGTTTGTTCCGGCTAATCTCCAATACGGCGGGACTGATTTTAACGGGACTTCAATTGTCAGATAACTGATGTTATAAGAAGTAACATAGGCTACTTTTATTTTAGAAAAAAGAATTAGGGTTCTGCTCAGAAAAATAAAAAACGTACCTAAGGACGCACGACCGAGCGAAGCGAGGATATGTTGCTAGTAAAAAAATTCTTCATATACATATATGATGTTATTATGACATTATTTTTGTGTATGTACTACTCGCTGTATATACATATGTTCAGGAGATGTGAATCGATTTCCATGCTTTCTTAAGGGATAACCAACCCACAAGGGTTTATGTAAATTTCTTAAATCCCTCTTAAGGGTTGGAATAATTAATTATTATACATATAATTTATTATTTTTAGAACATTTTGAAGTCGCTGTAGCTTTTAGTTAGAAGTAATTTTTAATTATGTCTCATTGTCCGACGACATGCTCGGCTCAGTTTGTAGTGACCCTACTTGCTGCGCCCGCAGTCGCGGGTTCGAGTCCCACTGGGGGCCTTCATTTGTGTGATGAGCACGAATGTTTGTACTCCAGTCATGGGTGTTTATATTTATAATATGTATGTATTTAAAGTTATATATGTATATAAATATCTGGTATCCATAACACAAGCCTCGTAGCTTACCATGGAACTAGATGGTGTTGTGTGTTAATATCCTAACATATTTATTTATTTATTATTATTATTTTGATGCCTTCCATTTAAAAAGTTTTAACTTGCCAAAGTTGTTTAGTTTTAGATAATTAATATCGTTTTAAATGATCGTTTAGCTAAGCTTCTTTAATTAATTTGTATGTGAGCGTAACTATTTATGTATATTTATAAACTAAGCTCACACTTGTTTCATAAAGAGAATTTCACAGGATTCAGACCACGTTTAAAAAGTACTTATAGAAATCTTGATCTAAAGCTCTACATCTGTCATACTATAAGCAAGAGGTATATATATTACTAGCGACTTGCCGCGGCGTTTGCTTGCGTGCGTCCCTAGTTACGCGGATTTCGTTCACAATTTGAGTGGTTTTAATTTTATTAACCCTAATTTTTTTCCAGAATAAAAGTATCCTAAGTTACTCCTTATAACATCTATCTACTAGTGAATGTTCCGTTAAAATCGGTCCAGCCGTTCCGGAGATTAGCCGGAACAAACAGACAGACAGACATACAAAAAAAAATTGTTTTTTTTTTTTCTTGTAAGTAGGTACCATTTATGCTTTCATATGCATTTCGTTAAAAGTTTTAAATTACAAACAGACACTTCAATTTTATCTATATAGATTACAACTTAGGTTCATATTCTAGTGGAATTTTCACGAAATTAAATATTATCCCTTGCTTTTTCATATATCATATTATATGTATAATTGCAGTACTCGCGACTTCACTCGCTTTCAAACTTCCAATCGCTACGCATATCACCAGTCGGGTTAATCTGAAGATTGCCTGAAAACTTCATTAAAATCGCTTCAGCCGCTTTGGAATCCATAGGGAACATACATACACACATCGATTTTTATAAAGAAGATTATAATGAGCGAACACATTCATGAATTACTAATTTAGTTAGTTTTCTCCCCAAAAGTATGGATAAAGGCTTGTTATTATCTATACTTATAATAAAATTGTAACTAAGCCGAATCTGTACATTAAATATTTTTTGAAAAATCTTATTGAAATAGACATTAATATCGATACAGAGGCCGAATCTATAGTTTTTAGAATTTTTGTCTGTCTGTCTGTTACCGCATCACAGAAAAACCACCTTAGGGATTTTGATGACATTTGGTATGGTGATAGTTGGTTATCCAGGTCAACATATAGTATACTTTTTACCGCGGGAAAATGTCTCCTTTCTGAGAAAAAATACAAAAACCGCTATGTAAGAGTATAATACTAATATGTAAAACCTGAGAATTTGATTGTTGGTCATCTAAAGGCGGGCGGAGCCGCGGACAATGCTAGTTTAATACACAATATTTTATTATATTCGCGGGTCACTATTTGTCCTATTTGTGTATCTTTTCATTGAAAAATCTCACAGAATTTTTAGCTGATAATGAGTCTCTTTCATCATTTTTCTATATACTGTCCATTATAGATTCAAGTTCATTAAATTGAAGCATTTCAAACCTGTAAAATAGACATTTATGCAAAACTGGAAAATAACCTCAAATTAAACAAAGAGAAATGCCTAAAACATATTAAATTTTAAAAAAATTATACAGGAAGAGGCGTGAAGAAGCAACAAACAAACATACATACATATACATACGTACAAACTTTTATATTTATAATAATAGGTAGTTCGATAATAACTATAAAATTTAATCAATTCAGACATCGAATTTACGATCTATGTCGCATACGATAGAGACCTTCTAGACGCTACACTGTTACTTAATTATTAATACAATTTTAATAGTAAATTTTATAATACATAATACCTTACTAGCGGCTCGCCCTCTCTCCGCTCGGGGTCGTCCCTACGTTTTAACAGTTAGTATAGATTTCTCAGAGATGAGATATTTTCCCGCAGTATCCTAAATGTTGACCCGAATAACCAGCTATCATCATACAAAATTTCATCAATATCTGTATAGTGGTTTTCTCGTAATGCGTTTGCAGACAGACAGACAAAAATTCTAAAAACTATAGATTTGATCTCTGTATCGATAATGACTATTTCATTAAGATTTTCCATAAAATATTCAATATTTTTGACTCGGTTAGAATTATATTGTATGTATTGATTAAAATTAGCTATATTCTTCTCGTTAAATATGCCCTGGATTGTATGAAAAGTAGAGCTTTAACTGTGAAGTGACTTAGCTTTTCGGTTTATATAAGTTGTGCACTCATAAATATGTAGGTCGAGTAGGTATGCTTAAAACTTCATATTTTACTCTAGTCTACAATTTTTCTTATTTGTGACATAA